AAAGTAGTGGCTCGTGAGCCTGACTAATTCAGATGTTTGCCTTTCTTCTCATTTTATCCATGACACACAGATCTTAGTCCATGGTGCTTTGTTAGCCCCTTTCCTGCTGTGGCAGCACCACACTCTTGCCTTGCATCTGTCACGTTGGACCATGATTTGTCCCACTGCTCTTGCTCGCCTGATAAGAGCAGAGCAGTTTTAGCAGTGGTACCCAAGCTGGCCTTGCTAGAGTTAAGCCCTATGAAACTGCTTCCAGCGTTCCTGGAGCATTAGAAGTAAACTGCTGAGCTCGGTGTTCAGCTAACCAGCATAAGCACGTAGCGCCCGGGCGAGCAGGGCCGGGCAGGTAGGCATGCCATGCAGGTGCCAGCACAAAGTGCACAAGCTGCAGCCAGGCTTGCACAGTCTCAGATTCCTGCTTGCTGCCAGGATGGGTCAGAGCACTTGGGGTTATCTGCAGAGCCCAGCTCTGATCGAGCGCCAGACCTCTGCGTGCCGTCAGCTCCTGGTAAGCAGCAGCGGGAGCAGCAGTCCCATTCCCTGCGGCTTACTGATGTCCCCTCGACCTCGTCCTGCATGGTAGCAGTGAGAATGGCTGGGCGAAGGAGGAGGGGGAGTTCATGTTTTACACTGATCAGGGCAACACTGAGGTGTGAATTCCTGCCGTCTTGGCAACAGCTTCCCCTGGGCTGCCCTGCCCAGAGAAGACAAACGTGCCCAGCAGCGTGGGTGCCCAGCATCGCAGGGACCTGGCGGGGAGGTGGAGCTGTGGCAGAGCAGCCCGCGCAGCTGAAGCCCTCTGTATAAGGAGCTGCTTGTTTTGCTGAATTGTTAAGCCCCATTGACAATAGCAACCCCCCCTCCTCTCACACTTGAGGAACTGTGGTGGCCACACACTGATCCTTTCTCTTGTCTTGCGCTTTAGGCACCGAATTAGGGTTATTCTTCCCCGAATCCCTCTGACTGACAGTTACCTTTTGTTCTCGCTCTCTGCAGGCGTACGAGTGGGCCTTGGAAGGGATGCGACACCTTGCCTGCATCAGCATGGAGGAGTGCAGCTCTGCTGAACACTGCGCGGGGGTCATCAAGTGCCTGGAGAGTTACAGAGGGCAGCACCCGGACATCAGTGGTGTGCGGTTCCAGGAGATGAAGGACCTGGCCTGTGAGCTGAAGAGTGACAAGGGACTCAAGCAGTGGAAATTTGCTTGGTCCAAATGCCAGGAGACCAAGCTGGTTTTTGAAAAGAAGCTCGAAGCAGCCTTGAGAACAAGGAAATCTCTGCTCTCGGACCACAAGCCAGCTGCGGGGGAGCAGCCCGGGGCCGGCAGTGAGGGTGGCAGTCTGACCCACCGCAGGCACTCCGAGGGGACCACCCCTGGGTCCCACTGGGACAGGTCTTGCAGCACGTCCCAGTGCTACAATAGGCCCAACTGTGCTCTGGGGTGGACAAAGGAGAAAGCTCCCTTGCCCTCCCTGAGCTGTCCTGCCGATGTCAGCGCTGGGGAAGAGTCTGTCGGACAAGCTGCTCTCAGCCCTGGTCCTCACTTGAGCAGAACTTCTTTTGCCAGTGGAGCCTCCAAGTCTCCAAAGCTGCCTGAAGAAAAGCCAAACCTGGAGAGAATACTAGAAACTCTGGAGGTGAAGCCATCCTGCACATCCACTCCTGCCTCTGGGAAGCTGCCTCCCAGGAGGATGCTCCGGAAGGCCCAAAGCTTTGACCTCCCCTGTGGCGAGAGCCTGTGGTCAGGCTGCCAGAGGACGCTGAGCGAGCCGGCTAGATACGGCAACACTGGCGTCTTTATTAAGGGGCTGGAGGTGAGTAGTACGGAGCTGGTGGACAGGACTTTCGCGCTGCGGCAGCAAGCCACTCACAGCTGGGCTGCGGACTGCCTGCTGGAGGGACACAGGGGCTGCCTCTCCGTCTCGGAAGCCAAGAGCTGGGGCAGGTAAGTGACTGCGACACTCGGTGGTGCGGTCTCAGGGTAGTGAGGAGGTAGCCAGCAAAGACGTGAAGAGCTGTGCTGCGACGGTTCCTTTCCAATGGGGACAGGGCAGGTGAATGGAGAGGTTGAGCTTCAGCTTCCTGGCACGCGCGTGCGTGGTGCTGACCCACACAGCCTGGCACCTGCCTTTGCAGGGAGACACAGAAATGGGTCTCTTGCTCTTCCCCCACAGCGTGGTTCCTTCATAAGTGGGGAAAGAGCAGGTCCCAGGCAGGAGAGGGAGTCCCTGAACACTGCTGGCATTAGGGGACAAGGGTTCACAGAAATGTGGCACTTGGGGACCTAGCAAGCCAGTGGTACAGGTGCAGTGGGAGAGCAAAAGCTTAGTGCATCACCCCCCTTCACCGGGGGGGCTCTACCCAGGCTGGTGGGGGGCACTTCCAGTGTGCTGTGACAGCAGCTTCACAGGTCAGAGGGTGTTTGTGTTTGCCCTTCGGGGCTCAGGTCTCTGGGTGACCTGCATCTGGGTTTTGTTCTTTTCCTTCTCTGTCCTTGAGGTTCTCAGCTTGACTCTGTTATCGTACTGTAGCGTGCCTAGGGTACGGAGAGTCCAGGGATGTGAGCTGTTCTTCAACAGGAGTCACCAGGCAGGTCTTTCAGCTGCTCTCATTGGAAAAGATTTAAAAAAAAAAAATAGTGGTAGAGGTGAGAAACTAGTGCTGGATGTTGGGGTAACCACAGAGCTCCTTCTCTGCACCTGCTCCAGATGTGATGGCTGCAGACAGCAAAATCCTCTGGAAATGGCCTCTAGTAGCCCAGCATGTGTCAGGAAAGCTCCTGGCAGGTGATGGGCACCAGCAGATAGAAGGCCAACGGCTTTGCTTCTCAAGGGAGCGCTGCAGCAGCCCTCCCGTCCACGGGTGCTGAGGCAGTCCTGCTGGTCCGTCTGAACAGCCAGGAGCTGGTGTGGGCGAAGCCGAGAGGCTGGGAGGGCAGGTGCACGTTGGAGCAGTTGTGTTTGGTGCTGCACTGCCTCGCAGTGGAAACCTCGAGTACCGAGGAGCGATCCGTTCAGAGAGCTGCGGAGCAACCCGTGCTAGGAACTGCTGTTTGAAGAAGCGATATGAGATTTGTTTTCCACTCTCATTTTTACTGGGATGATCCTAACAGCACCTGGATCCAGAACTCGTGTTCTCCCAGGGTTAGTGTTGCCTTCACTGCATCCAGTTGTCAGGCTGACTCCTCCTCACAGAAGTTACCATGACTTCTGCTTTCCCTCCTGTTTCAGGAGCGTGGCCGTTTGCGGGGCAGCCTGTTGTGTGCATAGCAGGGTCTGGGTGTGCCTGGGGGTGTGTGTCCTGCGGAGGCTGGGTCAGGACCAGCCTGGGGCTTGCCCTTCCTGAACACAAAAGCCGACAGGGTTCCTTGGGGCAGCCATGGACTTTGTCGGTGCTCAGGGTCAGAGCCATCGCAGCCGGTTGTGAATCGGAGCTGGACGGTGCTGGGGGTTTATCTCATCTCCTTAGATGTCTTAGGGGGAGCTGCTCCAGGGGCAGCCCTGTGCTTTGCAGGCTCTCAGACTGCTGCAGCCCCACTGCCATCTGGGTCCCTTCAATGCCGAGTGTTTCCTATTGCAGCAAGCTGCGGCACATCATTGATGAGATGGTGACCACGGAGCGGGAATATGTGAGGTCGCTTTGCTACATCATTGAGAGCTACTTCCCTGAGATGGAGCGCCTCGACCTCCCCCAGGACCTGCGTGGGAAGCGCAGTGTCATTTTTGGGAACCTGGAGAAACTCTATGACTTCCACAGCCAGTACTTCCTGCGAGAGCTCGAGAGCTGCTGCAACCACCCGCTGCGGGTCAGCCACTGCTTCCTCCGACATGTAAGGCATCAGCGCCCTGGCTTCAGGCTCCTCTGGATACGTGCTTGGCTCCTGTGCCCAGCAGTGGCCACTCACCTGCCTGTTAGTGGGCTGTGGCTCTTTGGGAGTGGGAGGACTACCCTGTGCTGGGTTGGTTTGTCCCTTGCCAGCTCAAATGCTGGGTTGCACTGGGATGGCTCTGCGAGGCTGAGCCCAGGCAGCAGCAGATGCTCTCTGCCTTTCCTGCTGTTCTTTGCTTCCCTGGCAGGGTCTCTTGGTAGCAAAATGTCTGTTCATGAAAGCCCGTCTGCTGCCGCAGGGGGATCCCTTGCCCTGTCCTCTGTCTGTGGTGTCAGTGCAGAAGGACTTTAACGGGCAGAGGGGAACAGACCTGCTGCTCTTGTTGAAAAGGGCTGCTGGGCAGAAGCATGGGACACTGGTCTCCAGCTCAGCCAACCCGTGCACGATTGCTGCTACGGGGTGAAAGGTATCTGTTGGGGTATTTAGGGGACAAGGGGTAACAGGATGATGGATTAAAAAGTCGTAGCTGCTGCAGGAGCAGGAACACAAGAACATTCCCTGGATCTTAACAGGAATGACATTCCTTCAGGTTCGTTATCACAGGGGTCTCTGGTGCAGCCTGGGAGAGGCAGAAGTACTAGAGTAAGCAACCAAGATGCATGGCTGTCACTGTCCCCTGGGCGCGCGTTGCTCTCACGCAGGGATCTCTTTTGCAGAAGGACCAGTTTGGGATGTACGCATTGTACAGCAAGAACAAGCCAAAGTCAGACTCGCTGCTGGCCAGCCATGGGAATACCTTCTTCAAGGTAAATTCCGGTGCCTGCATCATGTTTGCTCATGGGGTCTGCGTCACTGATCTGTTTAAACAAGCCCAGCTTCGCTCCTCGAGGCATGCTTAGCGCTACCTCTGCTTTCCTGGCACAAGTGTGTGTTGGGGGAGAGGGGCAGAGATGTGCACACAGCAGCGCTGGTCCTGTGGCCTTGCATTTCTCTGCAGAGTGAGCAGAGCACCCCAGTCCGGAAAGCTGTGGGTGCCAGCGCCTGCCCGGGGGCACAGCGCTCTCCGTGGGAGGCTACTGCCCTCACGCTTTGCTGCGTTCTTCAGTTCAAGCAGGTGCAGCTTGGGGATAAGATGGACCTGGCCTCCTACCTGTTGAAACCCATCCAGCGGATGAGTAAATACGCCCTGCTCCTGAAGGACCTGATCAAGGAGTGCAGCGAGGCGCAAGAGCAGGAGCTGGGCTACCTCCGTGCAGCTGAGGAGATGGTGAAGTTTCAGCTCCGGCACGGAAATGACCTGCTAGCCATGGATGCCATCCGTGACTGTGACGTACGTTCCAGTGTCCTCCCCAGCCCAGGGGGGACAGAGCCACATTTCTTCCCCTTCTCTAGGCTTCGGGTCTTTGGATTGTATGGTGAGCCTCCCCAAAAAATCCCACAGTGATTGGGGTGCCATCTGCCCGTACAGTGTAGTGGGACTACCGAGGCACAGAGCAAGGTCTCATTGACCTGCTGGGACATACAGCCTGGATGCTGGATCCCAGATGCTTACTGGTGCCGTGAGGCAGCCTAGCAGCGCTTGCAGTTGGCATCCTGCAGGCTGCCTTGAGCACTTCCGTCTCTTTTGAGCTGGTGATAAGAGAGACAGTTTGCAAGAAGGAATTCAGACTGGTGCTGATGCCAGGGGTAGGCGAAAATCAGTGAGGTGGCACTTGAAGGAGAGGCATGCATAGTGTAGCACTGGGGGAGGAGAAACCACAGGGCTCAGGGTGGGGGAGGATGGATCTGGGACAGGCAGAACTGAGGGACTGCTCTCCTGACGCAGATGTGCTCGTGGCAGTTTGGTGGGACTCCTCTTCAGCTCTGCTCTACCCTCAAGATAATGTTTTAGCTGCTGCCTCCGGTTGCCACTCCAGAGGTTTGTCACAGATGTGTACCGGGAGACCGCAGAGGGTCATCTGTGCTGTGCCTAGCAAAGAGGTGCAGCTCTGACCTGAGCTCTGGGCCAGATGTTTCAGCCTGATGTGGCCTCTAGCAATGCCACGCAGCCCTACCTCTTCAGGGGCTCTCCTAAGATGATGGGTAGCTGCCACTTCATCACTGCCTGGGCCACAGCCACGTGGGACCTGCTCTCAAGTCCCGCTGGGGTCTTACCAGGATGTTCCCTGTGCCCAGGTGAACCTGAAGGAGCAGGGGCAGCTGGTGCGGCAGGACGAGTTCACCATCTGGCTGGGCCGTAGGAAGTGCCAGCGACATGTCTTCCTCTTTGAGGACCTGATCCTGTTCAGCAAGCCCAAGAGGATCGAGGGAGGCTTTGATGTGTACATCTACAAACGCTCCTTCAAGGTAAGGGCAGCGCTGCAGCTCCCCCTGGTGCAGGAGGTCTCCACGGCTGGTTTCCCCACGGATCCATGGCTCTGAAATGGGGAGTGGGAGCAGGAGCACCTTCAGCAGAAGAGCTGCTCCCACTGCTAAGCCTTCTCCAAACCATGCAGTGAAGCCACAGGGGAATACTTCACACGTTAATACCTGGGTCCCCTCCGTGCTGTGCGTTGTGTGGCCAAGGTGGTCTGAGGGATGCAGAGGGTGAGGGAAAGGCAACGTGTGTGGCAGGGAGGTGGTGCTGGCTCTGGATGAAACACTGGGAATTGCCTGGGCTGCCTCTGCTCAGCTGTGTCCGTATCATCCCTGCTCCTGGCTGGACCCTCAGGCTCCTTCCTGTTGGGTCTGCCGAGCTGAGAGTGGCTCTGGCAGAGTGTTTGGGCAGAGTTCACCTGTTCTGCTCCTGGTGCAGCCCCAGCTGATGCTTTGATTCTTCCTTTTTCTGGCAGACTGCAGACATCGGTCTGACGGAGAACTCCGGGGATAGTGGCCTGCGCTTTGAGATCTGGTTCCGAAGGCGGAAGTCCAGCGACACCTACATACTCCAGGCCAGCTCAGCTGAGACTAAGCAGGCCTGGACGCGTGACATTGCCAAGATCCTGTGGCAGCAGGCAGCCCGCAATAAAGGTGTGATTCATTCCCGGGGCGTCTGTGCCGCGAAAGGTGCGGGAGCCCTGTTCAGCTCATGCTGTCCTGAGTAGGTTTGGAGCCTGTTGCCAGGCAGCTCTGTGCAGCAAAGCAGCTGTGTGCCGGCATGCAGACACAGCAGCATGTGCTGGGCTTGGTTGGGCATGTCTCTTCCCTGCCCCTCATTCCCGGGGAACTTGACCAGTCCGAGTTCTGTGGGACTGCGGACACCCACCTGGACTCCATGAGAGAAATGGGAGATACTGGCACAGGGTTCCCTGCCCTGTGAGCATGGGCAGCGCTCCCAAAAGGCTCGCTGTTCTCTCCATGCTCTAGACACCGCTTGAGTGGCAGCTGTCTGGCTGAGCGCCTCCTCTCCATCCCAGGCTTCCCGTTTGGCAGGACTCTTGTCAGTGGCATGGCATTGAGCTACTTGGCCAGAGCAGGGCATGACTGCTTGTCTGTGGAGACCCCTCAGGACTGGGGAGCAAGGGGAGAACAGATGTAACGTCGGTAGTTCAGGAGCAGCATGGCCCAGGAGTGCTCCGGCCTGGGGCTGCACGGTGCCCATGGAGGGTGTTGGAGCATCCTCACAATGTGGCTGTGGGTTTCTTCCTCTCCAGAAATCCGTATGCAGGAGATGGTCTCCATGGGTGTGGGCAACAAGCCATTCCTGGATATCAAACCCAGTGAGGCGGCTATCAATGACCGTGCTATCGATTACATCATGAAGGGCAGAGGTGAGTGTTAGCCGTGCCTGCCGCTGTGCCCTGGGTGAGCCAGGGCTGCTGCACAGGGCTTTTTCCGTGTGTTTTCTGGCAGGTGCCAGGACCAGAGCATCAATTGCAGTGTCTCTGTTTGACCATTCCAACCCGTACAAGAGGACACAGGTGCAGCTCTCTGCCGGCAGCACCCCCACTGCATACAGCCCTTCCTCCTCCTCCTCCCTGCTGGGGCCCCTCAATCTCCACATGTACCTGGACCAGGCTTTGCTGCCAGGCGTCCTGGCCCCCAGCCGCCCCTTTGACATCAGCACCTGCATCGAGGAGGATGAGCTGGAGCATGAGACGAGCAGCCATGAGCTGGAGCATGAGATGAGCAGCCAGCCGTCACTGAGTACGTACGAGCCCGCGGCTCTGCGGCGCGCCCCGGGATATGTGGGCTCATCCCCTCGCCTTGCTCTGCGCTGTGCCGTCAGACCAGGCTTACAGGGGTTGTGGCAGTCCCTGCCCCGTAGCCACCCTGGGGTGAGGAGGGCTCTGCCCTTCCACACCAGCACCATGTCAGCTCTCATGGGGGGAGTTAGCTCAGATGCAGGGATTAGTAAAGTGCCCACCGGTCTGCATCCATCCCAGCGGCAGGCTAGATGTACTAGGATGCTGTGACCTTGGAGACCAGTGCTGGTGTCCCTGCCTGCCCTCCCCTCTGGTACGAGGCACTGTCCCTTGCTGTCACCAGCCTGGTCCAGGGACCCCTTGGCTTCCCCTCTGTGGACACTGGGCAGCCTGCACCCATCTCCAGCCTCATTTCCTGCACTTCCTTGGGTTATTCTGTTGCCTGTGGCTTTGAAGAGGCTGAGACAGGAGTGTGGCTTATTTGTGGGCTTGCGTGGCCAGTGCCTCTCAAAACAGATACGTTACCAAGTCTGTGTGGCACAGGTCACGTGGCCAAATTCATGGTCATCAGAGTGACCTTCCTCTCTTCCCCCAGCGACAGAGAGCTCGGAGTCATCACACTGCATGTCGGGCAGCGGCTGCTCTGACAGTGGCTGTGTCTCCAGCATCCCACAAGAAAGCTTCTGTGAAGACGTGGGCTCCCCCCCCTACATGCCCATGGGTTCCCAGCACGGCTCTGCGGTGGAGGAGAAGCCGCGGTTCACAAACAGCCAGTACATTTCTGCAGTAAGTGCGGGCAGCCAGAACACTCTCTTCACTTTGCCTCTTCCTGTGACTGCCTACCCGGTTCAAGCCACTGCCTCTCACGGGGGGACTGAAGATGCTGCTTTTGGGCTAGGAGTCACTGTGGGGAAGTGACCTCTCCTCTTGCTGAGACTCACCTCCCCTGGGGCAGGCAAAAGCCCCCCTGTTGTGAGAGCCCCCCCCCCCGGCAGTGGCCAAGATCCCCGAGGAGCTGCAGTGCTGGAGGCTACACACAGGAGCTGTTGTGCTGTCAGGGACAGGGAACATACAGAACCTCCTGGGATGGACGGAGCTCTGCTGCAGGTGCTGCTAAGCTCCTTTTCTGGGAGGTCTGGGCCTTTTTTGGGGAGTGATGAGATGGAGGAGAGGGAGCCTGTCACTCAGGTGTCAGCGTGTCTCTTCATATGTTCCTGAGAGTTCTCAGCTGCCTCCCTTCCCACTAGATCGCGTGCTGATGCTGTTGTCCTCTAACCCTATACTAATGCTGGCTTCTCTCCTCTGCAGAAGGCAGGCCAGGTCACCATAAGTCCCTCGACAATAGTGTGAGCCCCTCTGCACGCGTATACCGCCCAAGGAAGCGCAGTTGTTGTAAGTGGCCCCCGGAGGGGATTTTCCAGAGCTCTGAGTGCTGGTCAGGTTTGTCAGTAGCTCTGCGTCAGGAGAACCTCACCCTCCGCTTCTCGCTGAGAAGTTTTCCGTGCGCATTCTTGACTGGTCTCTGAGGCTCTGATTCTTCTGGTTAGAGAAGACCAGCTCCCCTAGGGATGGCTCCCACAGAGCCGTTGCCTTCAACAGCCACTCTGATGCCTCCCTGGTTTGAAGAAGCAGAAGCAAAACAAAGAAAATCACTTTCAAGTAGTAGAGACTTGAGCACCACCTAGTCACCAGTGTTCAGATGAGCTGCTTTCCTCCATATGCTGCCCAGCTGTCTAACCACTAATCTGTTTCTTGTGGCTGTTTGCCAAAATCCTGCTCTTTGTTAGTCCCTCTGCGCCACCTGGGGGAATCCGTGGTATTTTTCCCAAGCTGGATGTATCCCACAGTTTCCTTTGAACCTCCGAAGGAAACTGCACATCACCAGGCAAAGGAACCTGCTAGGTTATGGTCAGGTGGGGAGCTGCCAATGTTGCTCCTGTACGGACTGATTTCTGGAGGAAGCTTTAAGGTCTGTGATGAAATCGCTGCTGATCTGAGGAGGGGTGAGCCAGCCAAGCGGGTGGCAGCCCTGGCAGGGCCCACTCAGCCTTGCCTGCTTCTGGCTCAGCTTTTTCCCCTCTGGCCTTAGGACTGAGTTTCCTTTTTCGCAGGGTGCAGAGGAGCATGAACACAAGAGAGGCAGGATCAGGGCGGTAGATGGCTCGTAGGTTTGGCACCATGGGCTGTTACAAGCACACAGCCACGGCTTGTGCCCTGCAGGTGCGGGGATTCATAACCAGATAAACAGAACCAGCCACGGTTAAAATTTAAGACCCAGGGCCCCTTCTGGGGGGGCGGCTCACAGACAAGACCCTTGAGGTGGCCACAGAAGCAGCGGGGGGGTTGCTGCCCTGCCACTGACGGGACAGCAGCACGTAGCCTTTGGGTGAGTCCTGAGGTGCAGAGGCAGCTCTGGGCGTGAGGGAAGAGCCACGCTTCTCCTTTGAGGCTCTTTCAGTAAAATGTTGTTTCCCCACCAAAACGCAGCTCTGACAAATGGTGGTTTTCAATGTTTTGCAAAATCCCTGCTGGCTGGGACAGAGGGACCTGTGGGGTCGTGCCACGTCCTGGGCGTGCAGCCAGTCGAACCCCTTGCACGGTGCTGTGTTCCAGGTGTGATTCCATTTCAAACTCACTGAAGACCCCAGGCCTCTGACCAGCAGAAGGAGACAGTCTTCACTTCTGAAGATTTTTTTTTTTTTTTTTTAAATTACACATATTCGGGCTCTTTCAAACAGTCCAAACCCTGACCTCTGGCTGGGGCCAAGTCCCGAGAAGGTTTCTGTCAACTACATATTATAGCTTTGGTGTTGGATGGGACCTTGGGCGTTCAAACCTTGTTAGCCCTATATTTATAAGTAATGAGTAACATAGCAGTTTGAAGAAAAAAAAAAAGTATTATTTTTAAAGCTATGAGCTGTACAGATTTTTGTTACGAGTGACTCTGTTACTATTTGTTCTGTAAGCTGCACATTTTATAAAGTTTTTGGAAGGGCATGAAGAGAAACCAAGGTATTTAAGAAAAGTAGTGTAACTTTCTGTTTCAGGGTTATATTGACCTGGAGCTCAAGATTTAACATCCTTCCTTATGTTCTAAATATGGCTATCATAGCAATAATTTATTTTCTTGGCTTAACACTTCTGTTTTAATAAAAGCAATTTCATTGTTACAGTGGATTGTTTCTTCAGATGATTCTTCCAGTGCCTCAGTGCTGAGCTTATCTCTGTCTTAACCGTCTGTCGGCTCTTCCCTCTCCCTGTGCAGTTTCTGCACTAACCAGCTGCCAGCTGAACCCTGGAAAGCCTGAGCGTGTTCCCCAGGAGCGGGGGAAGGTCCTGGGCAGCAGCAGGTGGAGACCTCCCCGGTGCCAGGGGCAGGCCGAGGCAGAGCAGGGAGGTCAGAACAGAGATGTCACCAGGAGTGACAACACATCATCGTATTTCCTGGCTCTCATTTAAGCCGCTTACCCCGTGTACCTGCTGTCCCAGTCTCTCTCACCATTGGGTCCAGTCCCACGGGGCACAAGTGGCAGAGTTCAGGCTCCGTGTGCCTTGTCCCACACTTGTCCCAGTGTCCAGGCTGCACCTGGGGGCTTGGGGCAACAGGGAGCGGCTCGTTGCTGTGTCTCGGCCTCGGACCCTGTCCGGGTGTGTCAGTCCCACTGCTGTGGCGTGTGGAGGAGCGTTGAGTGGTGGTGGCGTCTGAGGCCCCCCCAGGGTTTGAGCATAATGGGTTTTACGGTGCTGAACCTCACACGCCCGCTGTCTGAGTAGCACGAGGTAAGCGGAGGACAAACGCGCCCGGTGCTCCTGTTCTTGAGGAGCATCACAGCTTGCTGTGGGGCTGCCACACCCTTGCCCTGCTCCGAGAAGAAATGAAAATTAGTGTTTTTGGAAACTCTGGTTACTTGCTGCCAAGCTCGTGTTTACTCTGGTCTGTGGAGCACCATAAATTGGGCTCCCCGCAGTGTGTGAGAGGTGGGGTCACACTCAGCCTGAGGAAGACGAAGGAGCAGTAATTTATTGATCTGCAGTTTTTTCCAGGGAGCTGCCTGCCGCGGGACAGTCTCAGATGTTAAACCTCGTAGCCACCTGGCTTACCCACGATGTGTAGACCATGTTCCTTCAAGTCTGGAAAGCCCTGTACTGTACATAAAGCACGTGTTTATTTTGAATAAGCTGGATGTTTTTTTAAATGTTGTTCTTTTTTTAGACAGCAGAGAGGACACAGTTTGACACCTTTGTACAAAATGGGGTGGGAAACAGTTGCACAGGGAGGATTTTAGAAGTTGCTATTTGAAAATAATTGTGGAGTTAAGATTGTTGGGCTGTCATGACAGCAACAGCTCGTCACAAGAGGGAGAGAATTTACTAATGCAACAAGAGGAACATGAAACTTCCTGAATTTCTCAATCTCAGAGGTTTCTGCATTGCTGGAAAAACCTTTAGTAATGTTTACCTGACGCTGTTTTTTCAGGGTTTGATTGACTTGTCTAATAAAGGTTATTTTTCTTTATATGAATCCCCTTTGCATTATATCTTGATTTCAGCATGGGAACCTGGGCTGCAGCAGAGGAGACGGGCGAGCGCTGAGAAGAGTGCTTTCCCCTGGGGCGTCTAGCTGCCCTCTCAAAATACTGGGACCAGATAAATAACGTTTTTGTCATCACGTTGGGAGAGAGGGTGACACTGAGCTCACCCGATGAGAAGTGTCAGCTCTCCTCCCCAGAGCTGCAGAGGTTTTAAAACAGAAATAGCCAAGTGCTGTATCTGCCCAACACACTGGAGATAAAAAGTGAAGTAACTGCTCTCAGCCTCAGATTATTATTCTTTTCATTTGATAGGGGAAATAATAATATTAACACATACGTTATCAGAAAGAGGGGATTCTTTTGCTCAGGGAAGGAACAAGCTTTTGCCCAACTCCTGCTAGTTCAGGGACTGGTGGGTGGCAGATGGACAGGACCAGCCAGGGCAGGGAGGGATGGCAGCAGGGCAGGTGCCTGGGCCCAGAGCTCCAGGGAAAGCATCAGCTTCTGATCCCTAACTCCACGTGTCGCTGATAAAGACACATGGAGTCTTTGTTAGAAATAAGAAGGTGGCAGCTGCTACAGAGGTTCCTGAGTACAGTCACTGTTCACAGGTAAAAGGTGGCTGTGGTGTGCGCCCTCCCCTCGCCTGACACAAGAAAATAACATTTCAAAAAGTAGCTGGTTCAAGTTTTTATTAGCAGTCTGTGAACTCACATTTCCAAGGCAACGTGTGAGACGGATCTAGCAAAGCCTTTCTGGATCAGTGAGTCGAGGCAGCGGCTGTACTTCCATGCCAAGGGCAGGGTAAACTGCAACAGCACAAAACCGAGGCCACGGGTACGTCACCCGACAGCCACAGAACAGCAGCATCACCTCACTGCTGCTCTTCATTTCTTAACAACCTTAGAAGGCTTCTGCCTGCTTTTTGTTTTTTGGAGGCAATCTTCTAAATGAGCAGCAAAATCCTAAACTTCTATTAAGACTATACATGACATGAACCATTTTGAGCAGTAAAACATGCTCCCCCCGCCCCATCTCACCCTGCAAACAAAGCTGGGCCCAGTGATCTGGTTTAAAGAGCAAGCCGTCGGTATTTGGAAGGAAAAAGGCTCAACTGTACAGCATCACCTGCTGGCAAACGCTACTTACCTCCACCCACTGAAGCAGCCCTTGGTGAATGTGTCTGTCCCGTTTAAAATTCTCTGTGTTCAGTAAATCAGCAACAAACTCCCCAGGTGTGATCTGCTGGGTCTGAAACACGGAACATGACACAGTGGTATCGACAGACGGGTGTGCGCGCGAGTGCTCAGCTCCTGCCGGGGCAATGCTCCCCGTCAGTGAAATTACCCACTGGATGGAGAGGTTCCCTGCCCGTCCGGGGCCAGG